TATTATGCTTCACGAATCACGAGAGCGGCGCAAATTAGATAGTTATGATAATGTAAGTTGTGTACGCAATTTAGTTGTTTGTGCAAGAAACATCATGACTCATGAGAAATGTAAGTGATAAGATAATGCTGAAAAGCGCCCTTTTGGCAGCCAAGCAAGGTAACCTTAAAGTGCATATGCGTGGGGTCGTTGTGTTATTGTATAAAAGAGCTGTATGTTGTAAATGTATTCAGATCACCAGATCAGTAGAGAATAGAATTGGGATTAGATTAATCGCTGGAACTGAGTTAGCATTGCCCAATTTAAGAACTACTACTATATATAATTCTAACCAGATTGCAAATTTAAACACGTTATAATGCCGTTTCCTGACCATCAGATTTCTGTCAAACCTTCCCCCCAAAGTCCAGGAAATGGCATTTCAGAGACCCTAAATTCAAAAATTTTCCGAGGGGGCATGCCCCCGGACCCCCATAGAGAAACCTCGCACCTGCGGCGCTCGGCTCGTGCCTTCGACACTCGTTTATCAAGCATTACAATATAGGGGCGCATATTAGTTGAAAGCCAACTGGCCCCCCCAGAAAATTAGTACCCAGCACGCCACTGACTACATTGTAGTGAACAGTCTTGGTTTCTTCAAGGAGACCACGGTGGAGAAGAAAAAACGCGTACTCGCCGGTCTTACTAATGCGCGGTGCTGTCTCTCGTACAACTACGTAACGACTATAGCTAATGGTGTAATAGAATTAACTCTGATACCCAGTTTACCAAATGTGGTAAATGTCACAAACTACATCACAAAGAGAATTGTCCAGCCCATGGGACCACATGTAGAAATTGTTGTAAATTTAATCATTGGCAGTCAGTATGTAAACAGCAAAGTTACGACATAGATCTAAGTCGCCAAGACGAAGAAATGGAAAGCAAATATATAATTTGAGAATGAATAGGGGAGACTAGTATGAAAATATCCCAACAATTAGCAAAATTAACATAAATAATCCTTATTATAGAAAGTCATCGTAATGACATCAGAGAAGAAATATTTGCCACCCGACGCGTGAATCGGAAGAATAATAGAGACATAAATTTAAAGTGTAAGGTAGACACAGGTGCTCGGAGTAATGTATTATCCATTCGCGTGTTTCACATCCTTTACCCAGAATTAATTAATGCAGAAGGAAGAAAGCCTAAGGACGGTGCTCTGCATAGTCCTGAAGTAGTTTTAACTGCATATGGGGGAGCCGAGATAATCCAATTTGGAACAATACTACCATGGTTTTAAAGTGCTAATTTCAGCAAAGTCTTCTCTGTGAAAGCTGTGCACAATATACCAAACAATATCTATCTCCTCAATTTATACTCTCGGATAATCTGTACGTACATCGCTGTACGTACGCCGCTGTACGTGCTATACGTATGCTGTATGACTTCATCCATGTTCTTCGTATGACGTCATTGAATCTCTTTGTACGTACTGTGCGTACGTTGATGACGTCACCCACGGTTAAACAAGAATTACTTCTGTGGTGTATGACCCTCTCTGTACGGTTGAATACGAATTACTTCCGTTATCATATGGGGAGGAGGAGGTTAACCTACTGCCCTGTTTGTTCTCAGTCGTTGTAACAAGTTTGGAACAAGCTGTTAACAACTTGTAACATGCTTGATGGTATTATTATGGTTGTTCTAACAAGTCTGATACAGTCATAATATAAGAAGAATGTTACAATGTTGATGACATAAGGTTGTAACTATATTGACTATTGTTATATCATGACTGTATCGGACTTGTTGGAACAACCTTGCAACAAGTCTGATAATATCAACAAAGTTGTTACAAGTTGTGAACAAATTGTTCCATACTTGTTGACAACTTGCGACAAGCAGTCCGAACGTTACACAACTTGTGGACGGCCTTTGGGAGACTTGCTACAAGGAGATGAAATATTTTGCGTGTGTAGTCATCTAGATATATGACATGATTGTCAGAAACGAAATCGATACTGGTATTTTGTGGAATGTTTTTGACTGAACTGAAAACTATTTAGCTGCGATCTTAATCTACCTTCAGATAAAGGCATTGTGTATGGAAACGAGCAGTTAAAATATATTGAATTTTTTTGCTGCAGACTTATAGATCGTTTTCAGATGGGTAATTTTTCGCCAACCTGAAATTTCCGGTTCATGAGAATAATGAGAACTAACAAGAATTTAATCTGTATATGAGTCGTCGGTTAAACGCGAACGAGTGCTGTAACTCTCACCAATTTTTACTCAAGGCCGTCGCTATGGATGTGGGGTGTAACACCCCCTGAAAACTTCTCGTCGGCAAAATAACGGATTTATTGGCAAGTTGTTTTCGTAGTTAGCGAAAATATTTGGCTCGGATTAAAAAGTAATAGTTATAGCGAAAATTTTGATAAATTTAGGAAAATATTACCGAAAAATTTAACATTAAGGTGATTCCGCTGTTTTGCATTGCGCACTTTTACTGCACACATCTTATAACTTCTAATTTCATCCATTATAGACGGCCAGCCAGCCGATCAAAATATGATTGTCGATGGCATTTTTTGTTACAAGCAAACAACAAGCGTTTTCTTATAGCTTAGACACTGGTGAGTCACGTTTGATATGTTGCCACCTCTGATTTTAACGAACGAAGAGAAAATTTTAAGTATTTGAACAGTTTGCCTATTAAATTATTATACTCCCGAAAAAATGTGAAATTTGAATTTCACTTAAATTAGCATCGTTTATATCGTTAGAAAGAGCAAAGAAAAATACATATAAGACATTTAAAACGAGTAATACGATTTATTTAGTCAAATTCGAGTTATCGACACTTAAAAAGAGGTAAATGCGGTGAATGACGTCACAAGCAACTTTAGCAACTTTAAGCGCCCGTAACTCAAAACAGGGTTATAACACTTCACACTTAAATGTTCTATATCTACTTTTTTCCAAACTTTCTGATTATATAGGTGATTTTTGCTGAAAGTTGGTTTCAAATTTCACAATTTAGTGAGTATAGTAATTTTAATAGGCAAAATTTTCAGATTCTCAAAATTTTTCCACTTTAAAGTCAATATCAGAGGTGGCAACCTATCAAACGTTGTTCTCTAGTGCCTAAGCTATGCGAAAACGCCAGTTGCCAGCTTGTAACAAAAAATGCCATCAATGACATTTTAGAGACACTTTTATTGAGGTTGGCTGGCTGTCTATTATACGTACCGTTTAAAAAAAATCTTTTTATGACTACTTTTATATTGCTTCAAAAGATCTTTGGTTACATTCGTGCAAAGAATTACGTTACAATCAATGTTTTTAAAAAAGGCATACAAAAGTGTAGCTAGGGTTCCCTGTGTCTGTAGTATATTTATTTACTTGTATTTCACGTTTTAATGCCACAATTCCCCCAAAAAGTCCGTGACCCCCGTTTTTTAACTGATAATTTATTTCTTTAATGCATTTTACATTTCATATCTGAAATTAAAAGAAAAATCATTTCTGGATCTTGAAAAAAAATGCTTGAAAGATATGTAAAGAAATGTGCAAAAGACATTTGTGGACTAGAATTGTACACGTTAGTAGTTTCATTTTGCTCAAAACACAATATTTTTTCAAAAATAATTACAAGATAGGTTTACTAAAGCAAACTCCGCGCTAAAAGCGTCAATAAATATCGGGCTGTTGTGATTTTGCTGTTACTCGTAATGAGCGTCAAGATGGCGCCATATTGGGGTAAAGGTGGTATATTGTGATTGTCATATCTTCTTAACGAGTTCGGTGACCCCGACTTTTTTGTGTGATTTTACTTTAAGTATATCATAAACTCCATGCCTGGGAAGTTTCAGCACATTCTCATTTCGGAAACAATTACTGCGGAATTACCTTAATTCGAAAGTTTATGAAAAATGGTATGTCCGGAAAATTTTTTTACCTCGTCCTCCTCTCCACCCCCCTCCCCTCCCTCCCTGCTCGCCAAGAATTTTGAGAAAAGAAATAGTAATTAGCGACTGAAATATTGTCAGCAAATGCGATATATTACACCCCCTGCTTTAGCCTCTTCGCTACGGCGATGCAGTTTTTACTCTCGTCGTTCGACTGTACACAGAACAGGGCGCCATAGATTTTGGCCATGGTACTTGATATTGCTTTCGCTTGCCCCCTCTCCAGTAGCATAATATAGCTCAGTAGTCTTGACTTTTTCAAATATGGTTTCAAATATGACGAATTATGACGTATGTGGTGAAGATGGCGTCTCTGTTGGTGTTGCTGTTTTTATTTTTAAAACTTGTTTACTGACAATCTGGGTACTGTAAATTATTAAAAACGCTTAGATTTTTCCCAAAATAATATTTCTTCTTCCTGATGGATGGCTGATTCTTCAAGCGAATGTCGTCAAAGGAATTTATCAGGTATGACTAGTAGTTTATATAATTTTCTCCTCGATTGAAATATTTTGAATTACTTTGTTTGCAAAACCAAAGTTATCCAGAAGCCTGTGGCCGGTATCAAACACTTACCGAGACTTTGGTAATTTCTGATGTTAATAACAAAAACCGAATTCAATAAGTGTTTTGTTTTAGCTATAAACTGCAATGTTATCATTAAAAAAACGAACGAGGATTTAAATTCTGTGGAACAAAACATTGCATAGTTCTAAAGTATTATCAGTTTTTTTTGCTGTATGTAAAGTATTGTATTATTTCATTCTGTCTGATGATGACTTTGAAATAAAGTCTAAAATTCACAATTTCAAACGTTCGTCTTATGTTAATTCAAATCTTGAATTTCAAGATGATATTTAATACGGATTTTTAAAAATATTTTTTTAATTGTCGGCTTGCCGTGCGTTTTTTTTGTAACAGATAGTTTTGCCTCTGTGGTTTTGCTCTTGTTTTAGGTAAAAGCATGGTTTCGAGTGCGGTAGTTTGGATATAACATGCACGAGTGAGTTTTTCAAAGACCTCAAAATAGCACGAGTCCGAAGGACGGATGCTATTTGAGGTCTTTGAAAAACTCACGAGTGCATGTTTATCCAAATTTCACCAGAAAACATGCTGTTTAAGGATTACAGCACTCTTGGAGTGCATTATCGGGATTTACAAGCAGGAGTTCACGAACAAGAAACAAGAAATTTAACACTGCACAAGGCGCAGCCGAGTGCAGTGTTAAATTTCGAGTTTCTTGTTCGGGAACGAGTGCTTGTAAATCCCGATAATGCACGAACAAAGAGTGCTTTAAACGTTTTAATATTCAGTTTGAGTAAACCATAAAAGAACAAGCATTTCATACTGTATATGTATTTGTGTAAACTACACAAAAAAAGCAACAAAAACTCACCTTTAAATAGCGAAACACCCCATGCTGTTGCTCTTTTTGTGTTTGTTGGCGTTGCCTCCGAAATTATCGCTTCCACTTCCTCAGAGGACAATTCCAAAAACTTTTCACACTCAGCAGCCATCTTGCAGTGCGATAAAAAGTTCATGCACGGCTATAATGCACATATCAACGGCCTGCCCTGGGGGTACACCCCCGGGACACCCTGGGACTTTGAAAAAACATGATTCTAATGCAGTAATTCCCCCTCCCTCCCCCAGGAAATATGTAATTCAAACTGCCCTCCCCCTGGGTCTTAGAATAAAGTAGTTCATAATATAAATAGCATACAAACAATTAAAAATTCAGGGTGTTAGCTAGCCAATATACTGTCCGTTTGACGGACTCTTCCCAATTGAAGTAGTTAAGGGCTTTCCCAACTGGGTCTACTGGAAGATTTTCATTTTTTCTGATGAGAAAGTGCATTGCATTTGATATTATATTATTATATCAAAGAACGTTTTATTTACTTC